AGGGAAAGAAGGTAAAAACAGGTTGGGCATGCACCAGTACGTGCCCTCCATGTCTCTCCTACAGAGAGTCTCAGGGCAGCCTGATCCAGGGCTTTGGCACCCTCACAACAAAGGTTTTCCTCATGCTCAGATGGAACCTCCTGGGTTGCAGTTTGTGCTTATTGTCCCTTGTCCTGTCGCTGAGCACCACTGACAAGAGTCTGGCCCCATCTTCTTGCCCCCTGCCCTTTAGCTCTTGATCAGATCTCCTTTCAGTCTTTTCTTCTCCAGGCTAAACTACTGCAGGTCTCTCAGCCTTTCCTCAGCACAAAGATGCTCCAGTCCCCTCAGCATCTTCGTAGCCTCTGCTGGCAATTACTCTCTCAAGTAATTCCCTGTCTCTCTCTCTGCAACCAGGGAGCCCAGCACTGTACCCAGTACTCCTGAGGTGGCCTCACTAGGGCAGAGGAGAGAGAGAAAAGAACCTCCTTCAACGTACTGGCCACACTTCTCAGTGCACCCCAGGAGACCACTGGCCTTCTTGAGGACGGGGGCACGTGGCTGGCTCATTGTGGACTTGTTATCCACCAGGATTCCTAAAGCTGAGTAAATTTTCCTGATAGCTGTAGGAAAGCCCCTGCCCCTTTCTATAAAGGAGGAGAGAACAATCCTAGCTTTCTTTAGGATGACCGTCTAACCACCAGTAGTAGTTCTCGCTGATTAGACCTGGAGAAAGAGTTCTGGTCTTCCACTCATCTAATGTCTGACATGGGTTCAACCATAAGCAAGACAATGCAACTAGGTGTGCCTTGCCCAGGGTCTGGTTTCTGGCTGTGTCTGTCTCCAGTGTGTTAGAGCACAGTGAAAAAAAACCCAGCACCAAACACATTGCGAGTGGCTTGAGAGGGATTTCTATCCTAAGCACCACAGGCTATCAGCAGGTGATCTAAAGCAGAAGATTAGTGAAGTTTGTGTTGCAAAAAGGAAAGTAATTTGTGCTAAAGAAAAATAATTTGTCAGTGAGAGGAAGGTGGTCTTAAAAAATGTGACCCAGTGTGATGAGATTCAGGTACCTCGGTACCTTTTCTGATGCTATTTCTCCACGTGCAAGTGGGCTCAGGGATTCAATTAATATCCATAAGCTTATTCTTAACATAGCCTGAATTCAGAGAACTTCTAGATAGACTTTGCTCACCTATTTTTAATAAGATCATGTTTGGAAGCTGAATTTTAGAGGCATTTTCACAGTGGTAACCTTTGCCCCATGTTCTGGTGGTGCGTCAAAACTTCCATTTGGATCCATATGCTTGATTTTAAAATTAAATTCTTCTATCATTAGTGGAATTTCTTGTGTGAATGGTTCTTACTGTCTTGGGATCGTCAATTACCTAACCTTAGAGCTCCACAACCATTAACCCTTTTCATCAGAGGTGGAAAACAGACAGCAGCTTCCAGGGAATGAGAGAGTTCAGCTGAAACAGTGGAAAACACATGGGTCTGTTGATTGAGGTGATGCCCCTTTCAGTTTTTGATTATTAGTATTTTAATTATTGCTGGCTCTTGAACTGTGGTAGAAATTGCAGAGAACTGAGCCAGAAGGTGGACACACAGACAGTAGTCATGGCATCGGTAACAGACTGTTAGGGGACTGAACCCATTGCTCTGGTTTTATGCAATAACTTTTAATAACTGCACAGTAAGTCATGGCGTTCCTGAGATGCACCTGGAGGGCTGTTGTCTCTTCCTATTCCATTCCGTTTTCCAGTGTAAAGATTAGGTCATCTCTCTTGCCATGTAACTGGAACCAGAAGGAGTAAGCTGGGTTTAATACAGGTTTCTTTTTCTTCCTTCCCAGTCAAATCTCTACCCTACAGTGGGTCTCCAGACTCCAGGAGAGATAGTCGATGCCAACTTTGGGCAGCAGCCATTTGTGTTTGACATTGAGGACTACATGAGGGAGTGGCGAGCGAAGATTCAGAGCACCATTAAGCGGTTTCCCATAGGAGACAGACTAGGCGAGTGGCAAGCCATGCTGCAGAAGTAAGTCACTGTTCTGCTGTTTAGCTTCTTCCCTTCCGTTAGGCTTTAAGCACTTATTTTTTTAAATGCTAATTCATGCTTTCTTATAGCAGCAAATGCCAGTCAGTGCATTTTCCCTGAATTGTTTTACCCTCTGTTTTGTTGCTTAATAGTCTTTCCTGTGTAGATTGCTGCTGTTTCAAATGTAAAAGATATGGGACAAGTTTTCAGCCAAGGTCGGCATGAAAGGTTGTAGGAATGGATGAACAGCCACTTTGAGTTGATGCACTGGGGGAAAGGGAGTGGAGAGGACATCATAAAAACTCTAATGCAGGAGAGAATGAAAGCACAGAAATAGCTTAAACCAAAGGCTTCCAAACCCAAGTTAACTGAAAACGCAGTTGTGACACTTTATAAATATATGACTATTGAATGCATTTCCCATTACAAAAAGGATTGAGTGGAACTTGATGAGAACAATTGACAAGAGCTGTCAGAGGTCAGGAGTATCTTCTGCCTGAAGAAAGAGTTGACTAAAGCTCCATAGCTTGGAAACAGGTAATTGAGGGAGGTGGACTTTGTCAGCCATTTACACCACGAAAAGCAAAACTAGAAAGTGCTGATTCACTGTTTCTCAAAACACAAGAATTAGAGAAAAAGCACCTTCTGGCTTAAAAACAAAATAATATTTTGTTCATTAAGTATATGAAACTGGGGGACTTGCTGCTGCAAGAAGTTGTGGTGGTTTAAGTGTAAGTGGGTTCTAAAAGATACACATTTAAATATTCACAGTAATTCATGGAGGCCAATTCCATAGTTGTATTTTAACTCCCCAAGTCTATGGCTCTTAGTTCTGTGTCTGATTGCTCATATCTCTGATCACAGATAGTTAGCTCTGTTTCACCTTTTTATTATATTCTTTCCCTAAGCACCTCATACTGGTCACTGTCATCCAGGAGATGCAGCAATGATTGCATCCATGTGATTGTTTTCTTCTAGTCTTGTATTTAGTTATTTGGAGATAATTCAAGGCAAGCAGCAAAGCCTTTGAAAAGCAACTGACAGAAGCTATTGAAAATAATAATATCTTTCTTCAAGAACATAAGGAGCAGGAGGACTACCAAAGAGTTTGTAGGGCCTGTAGAAGATTGCAGGATAAAAAGAGACCTTGGGGAAACTAAGACCATATCCAGTTGAATTATTTGTTTCTGTATCCAGGAATCAGGTAGGCCATTGTGCTGGGACACTTCTTTGTGAGGGACTTGGCAGAGTCTGTGTCTGGTATTGAAGTGTCTGTCAAAGAAGAGCTGGAAGAAATAGGTGAGGGGAAGTGAATAAAGTCTCTAGGGTCAGATACAAGACTCAAGGAGAAAACAGGTGAACTTGTGGCTGTGTAGCAAGGATGGTGTGTATGGTGCCATGTTTCATTAAGAGTTTCAGAAAAGAGTGAGGCAGCATTGGATTGAGAGAACCTTGGTGTCTGGCTTGGACAAATCTGTAGAAGCACTACGGAAGGACAGATGCATTGGACATGTGGAGAAATACCACACAAGTTTTACAAAGATGAGCCAGTAGGCATGTGGATGTGGTTCTTGGGCTGCTGTCTTGGAAGTCCAAAAGGCTTTTGACAAGTTCCCTTGCTGCAGACTAAGGGGGGACCATGCAGCCAGAGATCAAGGGCACATGTCCGATGTGGATTATGACTTAAAAGAGAGACAAGAGGGAATGAGTGGATAAGGGATTGTCACTTCATGAGAAGGAGACTGTAGAGAGACTTTGATGCATGCTGCTAGTATATGTGGTGTTGAGAGTGTTCAGATATGGCTGGGAAGAAGGGACCCTCTAGGAAGGAATGAGATCTTTGGGTTATGATGAAACATTGCATGGGAATGTCTATCTGAATGATCACTGCAAGCTGGAAGGGTTATGAGGAAAAGTGTAATTTCACATGTGCCTTGTTCCTTTATTTTTTTTTAGGCATTTGCTTTTGCCAGCAGGAGGTACAAATACTTGTCTGATTGGGTGTTTGGTGTGGCCTAGCATGGATGAGATGTAGCAACTGGCATTGACTTTAACATTAGTTTTCATTTTGATGCACTGGATTGTTGACTTTTTGGGGTCATTTCACTGTCTGCGACCATCTTGTCTGGCTGTGGAAAGACAGGATCCACTTTTGGAAAGCTTGCTTATCAGCCACAGGGAAGGAAGAGATTCACTGATGGACAGACTTGGAAATGGAAATACATAGTTCCTAGTACTCAAAAGGCAACTTGTTCAGAAAAAAAGCATGCCTTGTGCTTTTGAACATAAAAGCACCTGCCTTGGGTGAGAGCACTGGTGTGTCAAGCTCAGTTTTATGAATTAGCAGAGATTCCTGCAACACTAGGGTGTTTTTTTTCCTTTCCATGCTAAAACTGACCATTTCAGTATTTAACTGAATATTTAGCCATGTTGGACCTTTCCTTTTATCACATGGTGACGCGATTTCTTTGAGAAGCTTTGTGGAAAGACTGAAATACCTTTGGATGACCAAGCAGGCTGCAAAAGTATCTCTTTTCTGCCTGCTTCCAGATTCCCTCCACAAATTAGAGCCATGACTTCCCTTTACCAAAGCTGTTGATTCTTCTGCAGTAGGGCTAGTTTATCCCTGCATTTGTTCCTTGCGTTTTCCAGAATTGTTTCTTCTGACATGCATGGTGGAGGTGTCAGGGTCACCAACTTGGACTTCTGTTTAAGAATCAGCATCATGTTTCCCATCTTCCTTCTCTCCATAGGCAGGTTTAGGTCAGGGCTTGTACCTTACCTTAGTAGCCCAGCTATTTCATGTTGGAGCTCTGTTCTGCCAATGACTAGGCCCAAAAAGAATAATACAACCAGCAGGAAGAGAAACCAATAATTAGACTGTATTGTAAGCAAAAACGTCGTAACATGAATGACTGCCAGGGGTACAAACAAGTCGACCAGCTCGTATATAATTGATGCCACCTCCAATGATCCCAGAAAAGACATGACTCGGCCCACAACATGTGGTATAAACACAGAATCAAGGTTTCCCATGGATGGCAAGGGAAACAGCCAGACCAGGAAGCTAAACAAATAAGACAAAGGTGCCCGCATGGCAACTCTCACCCGATTAGCCCGTGTTCACAAAGGTCTAAACGGTCCAGGGCCCAGCGACAGGGAGAGTCAGGAGGTCTTCCCTGAACCAGGAAGCTCTGTGGAGTGCACTTCACAAGCAGAGGCTCCTCCCTTCCTGCCAGTGGTCCCAGCTTTTATCCCCAGGCAGACACCTGACCTTTGTCAACTCCATGCGGGACCCCTGGGGCTCATTTCCCTTCTGGCTCTCCCTGCAGGGCCGGCCCCACCCTGGGGGAAGCTAAAAGGCAAACTCACCACCTCTTTATGAAGGGCTGTGGGAATCACCCATATGTCCACCTTAACTAGGGGCTTGGGGTTCAAACCCCAACATTTCAAGTTCCAAGCTCCTTGGCCTGTGTTTTATCACAGAATCATAGAATGGTTTGGGTTCAAAGGGACCTTTCAAGGCCATCTAGTCCAGCCTCCCTGCAGGGAGCAGGGACATCCCCAACTCGAGCAGGTTGCTCAGAGCCCTGGCCAACCTCACCTGGGATGGTTCCAGGGATGGGGCATCCACCCCCTCTTGGGCAACTCGGGCCAGGGTCTCACCACCCTCAGCATCAAAAATTTCTTCCTTCTCTCAAGCCTAAGCTTCTCTCTTTTAGTTTAATACCATCACCCCTTGTTGTGTCTAACCAGGCCCTGCTGAAAAGCATGTCCCAATCATTCTTTTAATAAAGGCCACAAGAAAGTCTCCGTGGAGCCTTCACTTCTCCAGGATGAACGACCCCAACTCAGCCTGGCCTCACAGCAGAGGGCTTCTAGCCCTCGCATCACTGTTGTGGCCTCCTCTGGCCCCATGCCAGCAAGTCCCTGTCCTTTTCTTGTCCTGTGGCTTTATTAGGATTTGTAGCACCTCTAACCATGCAGCTAAGCATTTCTTTCCCTTCAAAGACAGGTCCTGAGAGGTGCCATCTTAGAGCGGCTGTCACTGGGAAAGGTTTGCTTTGGGGGAGGGTCTCCCTGGAAAGCAGAGGAAGAATGAGCCTGGCCAGATTTTTTATCTGTATCGTACCCCTGGATATGCTGTCACCAGAGAGGCTGATCTGACATGGTTTTCAAGTGCTTGAAAATTTGAAAGGGACTCACATGAATAACTTGTCGTCTTTGTGTGTTCTTACAGTCTTAGAGGATCTCTAATTTCTTCAGATCTAGCCATGAAGAATCTGAGACACCTGAGACTTGACGTCAGCTGGTGTTGTTGATTATGGGAGAAGGAACAGTGCAGGTCCCTATTTCTGATAAAGCAGGAGGACTTGGCATTGTTCATTTGAGAATCTAAATAGTAGCATGCAGGGGGAGGAGAACTTCATGTAGTTTGTACAGAGAAGTGTGCAGTCAAGTTCTGTTTTGAAGAGGAAAAGCCACAGATGGTACAAGCCTCTGTACCACCACCGTGACCACTCTAGGTGAGAAAACCACCCCTAGATGCAGCATGGAGACAGCCGCTCCTGCAATTTAAGCACTTCTGCTCTCAAGAAGTTTCAACCATGGCTCCCAAGCAGTAGAAGCTGTTCCTTTGGAGAACCTGTGATTCTGAAAAGTTTTTGTTGTCTGCATGTCACATAGGTCACATGTTCCCCCAGAACTTCAAGAGAGTTGAATGCGAGCATGCTGCTGAATATTTGGAGTGTGCAGTGCTGCTGTAGTAAGATACAGAAGTGACAAGTCGTTGCGGAAAATCAGGCTGATATAGTGATCAGTGTATAAATAATGCCATGTGTCTTCACAAGGACACTTCCTGAGGTGCCATGGGCAGAAATGGCATAGGGAAGAGCTCATGTTTTGTGTGGCTTTGTAGAGCATTTAAATCTTTGCAGCCTCTGAGTCTAGCTGCTAAATTGCACTGAAGCAAGAGTTGGCTTTTCCCTTCCATTTCTGCCAGCCTGGATCACTGTGTTCAGGGTCACCCTGGCTGAGCCAGGGCAACTAGGCTGCTGTGCTTGACGGTGAGATGGATGGACTTCATTGCTCCTGTCTGCATCATGCCAAGGGCAAAAGGCATATCTCGTACCAACAGTGGACAGGAGCACTTGTTTTTGAAACAAATTTTTTAAATTACACAACTGCTTACAATGGTAGGCCTGAAAATGGTTGCTGACTCATATTTCTTTCTTGCGGTGAAAGGAGCCAAGCTGAAGGTATGTTTTGAGCTGGGACTTGATCAGATCAATAACAGCTTCATCATGAGAAGCCTATTTTGAGATTCATCATTAGAAGCTTTGAAATCCAGTGCTGGCTTTTTAGGTTTTGTTAAAATCACATGAGAGTTGACATTTCCTGGGAAGGCACAAGAAATGGTCTGTTCAGAAAGAGGGTTTTGTTGTGTTTGTTTCCTGACAGTGATGCTACCTCCCTCCCCAACATTTTTTGAAAATATAATTTTAAAACATGCTAATGTTTGTAAAATAAGAGCTGAGAGTCTACTCACTGTAAATCAGCAGATAAAGATATCTGTGAATGTTTAGAATTCATAAGGAGATTCAACCAGAGATATAATTACTGGCAAAGTAGGCGATGGAAGAAATTGAGGAATAGAGTGTTAATGTTTTTGAGATCTATTTGAAAGCTGTGAGCCTCTCTGAGATTCAGATTTTATGTCTATATAGTGTCTATATATTGTGTCACTGGCAGTAACACAGGACTGAGCTCTTCCAAGTGACCCTTGAACAGTAGTCATTAATAAATAAATATCATGTATGCATTGGGAGTCTTAATTTTAAGTATTTTTATTTTTTCCTCCCATAAGGTGAATTTAGAGCCTCCTTCCATGTTTGCTGAGGGCCAGGTGCCTTTCTTGTCAACTTATATTGTCTGGATAAAGAAGTAGGACACTGGTTATGTCCTAAGCAAGCTGAGTTTGATCAGCAGCTTTTTGGGACTGCAACTTCTGTTATGTTGATTTTTTTTTTTTCCTTCCAGTGTGATTCCCCTGTTTTACCAATGCTCTTCATCTGTTTGTGTCTTCTTAATTTTCTAGTATGGTTTCATCTTATTTGGTTCATCATGGGTACTGTTCAACAGCAACTGCCTTCGCCCGAGTCACAGACACCACAATCCAGGAAGAACAGACCTCAATAAAGAACAGACAAAGTAAGTCTCTCAGGTAATGGTTTCCAAAGTGTGGCACACTGGCCACATGCTACCTTCAGAACTCTCTGCAGAGTAATGACCCACTGTGGAAGTGGAAAAGTTAGTCCGCAACATTACAAAGCTGTCCACAGCACACTGCTGACTTAGTATTGCTACCTATGGGTCAGCAGAGCTCGAGGACCACTTCTGGGAGCACTTTTCCCCTCATTGTTGTGTCCCTACCACCCACTGCTGTCTTTGTCCTATTATTTCCTTTGCCTGTCTGCTCACAGAAATGACCTGCATGCCTGGCAGCGTTGGACGTGCTAAATTTTGTGATCAGCTTGGTTCATTTTCCTCAGTCTTGTTGAAAATGAATAGCTGAATCCTGGACGAGATGAGATGACTCTCAGCTTTGAGTCCCGCAGCTTCACACACCAGGCTAGACATGTTATCTAGGGCAGAAGGTGCCTCCTTGGAGGTAGTGCCACATCAGTAGAGAATAGGATGGTTCTCTTGGACTTGACCGAAGCTGAGGTGACTCCATACCAGGATCCCTGTGGATTTGGGTTCTTCAATGCAGCCTGTTGCAGCAGGGACAGTTTCATTCGCATGGTCATAGGGATCCAGAGACATCGATCTATTTTGACTACAGCTCCCAGAGTTAACGAGTCTTCCAGTCCCTTTGTACATTTTGACTTCAGGTAAATTCTTTGTATATTGAGGGTTTTGCAGATTCACAGTCAATGCGTTTAGCTCACACTAGGTGAAGAATTTATGTTCTATGCCTGTTTTGGTCACTGCTGTTCCCTCTGAAGTGGCTCATCTCTCAGGTGGTAAGGCTTTAAGTGCTTTTGGTCCCTGCAGAATAAGGCTTGCAATTTTCTGCTGCCGTACTTTGTTTTTTAGCTTTTCTATTCACAGGCTCAGACTGCAGAGCCACAAAATGTTGGTGTGTTTTCTGCATTCTCCTGGCTGTTGAATGCAGGTGACATCCCACTCTGTGCATTTCCCTTCCCTTTTTGAACCATTTCTCGTGACTGTTACATGACAGGAGGATTGTGCCCCTTTGTAGCTCACTCTCCATACACTGCATGCGCTTAGCCAGCATTCAGGTTCATTTGGGGACTCTGCTTAGTACCCAAAATAACTTGTAGCTGCTGCCTGTTGGTGCTGATGGACTTTGTGCTTTCCAAGTTGTGAGTTATGCAACTCTGACTCCAGCCAATGTCCTTGTTGGCGTGGGTTTAATCGGAAAAGCCTTCTGGGAGACATGGGAGACAGTGCAGTCTCATTTGTCTGAGGACAGATGACAAGGCAGATGGAGAGAAGAAATACAAAGTTCTGAAGTTGAGGCTTAAATAAAAGGTGTGGGAAAGCATAGATGGGAAAACAAAAAGAGAGGTGAAATATAAAAGGCAGCAGCATCTGTGAAAGTTGCCAAGCAAGGCAAAGAAGAGAGCAGTGAGACGTGAAAATGGACATGCAAGTAACTAGAAGGAGGAGAGTGGAATCAAGGAGACTGTGCAACACACGTTGTGTGAGAGCCACATTTCACTTGCACCTACCAGAAAAAGTGAAATGGACGCTGAGAAGTGGGAGACAAGTCCCTGCAGGCTGTTGCTGGTGCTTGCTAGTGAGGATTACCAGGCTGGCTTTCCAACTGCTCTTGACTTGTGGAAGTCCCAGCCTGTTGTTATTGGAGCCCCTGCTTGCGAAGCATCTCACAGATGACTCAAAACCTTCTCTCTCTTGTTTGTAAGGAGTCCTGGAAAAAGAGAGAGGGAAGTGCAATGCATTTTTAGTTTTTAAGTACATTTAATTTTTTTGTGTTAAGTACACATAGCAAAAAAATAAAATATGAACCTCTGTAGAGCTTCTCTGGGTGTTCAGGGATGGGATCACAAGTGAAGCCTTGCACTGTGTCTTCTGACCCCCTGAAGAAACATACGTGGGACATGAAAGCCCAGGATGATAGATGGCTTCTGCCTTGTACCTTTGTACCTCATAGAAGTGTACAATTCATTGTGCTGTTTCTAGCTTAGCTGATAGCTGATTCTTGGAGCTAGCTACTAGGTGCCACATCCTCATTGCAGCTCAGGTTAGTTCTTGGGGAATACATTGAGGTAGGACTTTCAGGAACCCAGTTTTATTGGTATAATTCCTTCTACATAGAGGCAGAGATACTTGGGAATCATTACGGTGCCGTGGTTTAAGCCCTCTAAGAATACTCTGACCACCTGATGCTCAGCCACACATATGCTTCCATGTGTGAACCAGCAGTATGTAATGTAGGGACCATGGGGTTTCCCCTCTGAAATTGTCATTTCCCCAGCAGCCTCCTTGTTCCTGTCCAACTGTCATGTCCTGCTTTCTTTTCCCTTGGTGCATAGTTCTGTGACTAAAGGACTGAAGTCCCAGAGTGCTCCAACCCAGCAGACCTACTTCATCCTTCAGATCCTTCTACTCTTGATGTTTTTCAGCTACTAACAGATTCTCCCTCATTTTCACAGGCTTTTCCTCACCCTAACCCAAAATAAAGGGAATATGATCCCCAGTTCTCCCTAGCCCCTGTGCAAGGTGGGAGTGGGGAGCTGTGTGGCATATATGAGACAACCCTTCTGGCCATTCTTGTTGGCTGGTCCTGTGTGTCAGTAGCCTCCTTTTGCTTTCAGGAATACAGAAGCTAGTATTAGCAGGCAGAGTGGGAGAAGCTATAGAAGCCACCCAGCAGCTCTATCCTGGCCTCCTAGAACATAACCCCAACCTGCTCTTCATGTTAAAGTAAGTATGAGTAGCTTTATACTCCGTAATGCTGTAATGCATAGGTGAAGGAGAGAAGAAAGAGGCTGTACAGCCATCTAGTCTGACTGCACACCTTGGTCTTCATTTAAACTGTTTGAGATCCCTTTGGGTGCAGGTTGGAGAGGACTTGGATTCAATCCTTTGCCCAGTGCTTGTAGCAATGTATGCATAGTAGTTTTGTTGCTGCTCAGACCTAGTATGGCTTTGCCTCATGAGACCACATGGAGGTGAAATCTAAGCTCTGCTGACTCTCAGAAACTCCTTCACAGATGGCCTTTACTTGTCTTGTGGAGATCTTGCAACACTGGAGCATGTGGCAGTCACTGTGAAGGTTCCTGGAAAGGCACATATATGGAAAAGGCTATTTGGGGTAGAGACTAAAGGAAAAAAGTGGTTTTGTGTCCCTGTTCTCCCAGCCATACAGAGTGGCTCTCCTCAGCCTCCTGAGACATACAAGGACAATTCCCAGTAAAGCTAAAATGAGGAGCTATCCTCACTGTCACTGTGGATATTGTATTTTTTACCTTCTCTACTTTCCACTTGCCAACAGTATTTTTAGGTTGATGGAGTAGTGGAGGAACTATGATGTTTGGCAGATTTAGTATCTTCTCCTTGGGAAAAAAAAAAAAAATTCTTTTGGAGTACCTGCAGAGGTGGTGGAGATGAAAGCATACTGTAAAGGAACAGTTTCTTCTTAGCACAATGGAAATAAACTTGCTTTTGGGGAATGTCTTGACATTGCTTAGCATCAAAGTTTTCAGTTTCTGAACTCCTTCCCCCCGTAGCATTATCAGAACACTGGCAATATAAAGGTCCCAGGAGTCTGAAATGTCTTTTTGAAAACCAAGAAATTGAACTCCTTTGCATTCCTAGGACCTCTCCACTTAGTAACTCAGGAAGGCTCAGTGCAGAGCATGCTGGCTGTCACACACCCTTTCCTCCTTCTTCCCTGCTGTGAAACCAGGTGCCGGCAGTTTGTGGAGATGGTGAATGGGACAGACAGTGAAGTACGTTGTTTCAGTGCCCGCAGCCCCAGATCCCAGGACAGTTACCCTGGGTCCCCCAGCTTAAGTCCTAGACATGGATCAAGCAACTCACACGTTCATAGTACTGGTAAGCATGTTTTCTGTGTCTCCTAGTGAGAAGAGCAAGTGTCAAAGGTGGACATGGTTGTGTTTAACATTGGCTGCTACTTGCTGTGCATTACTCTATGACATGCTACTCTCTATTCTGATACCCAGCTGAGGGGACATACTGTTTGATCATGGGGGTCTCTACACTGTTAGAGAATTGGTTTTGCATTACTTGTTTTCCAAAGACAATTGCTGACAGAGCAGGTTTTCTTCAGAGTAAAGAAGCTTCTGAAGGTGGCCTTCTAGTGCAGCCACTAGTGACTCAGTGTTTCACTGGCTAAGCATTAAGAGGAAGTCTGGAAAGCAAAGCCTGTTTCCTGTACCTTGGAGTCTGCAAAAGAACAGTTTTCTAGTGAGAGCCGAGCAGAAGATGCACTGTTCTGGCCAACTGAGTGAAGGGTTAGGGGCATGCCTTGCATGAGAGCTTCTCCCTCCCACATGGGCTTAAGCTCAAAACATGTGAGAAGGGAACAGTTCTGTACCTGTACCTGCAAAAGCTATCTCTGGAGCATCAACTCTTTGCAGTTTGGGAAATTAAACTTTAGGACTTGAAGTGGAAAAACTACAACATCAAAGATGTCTTTCTGAGGTAATTATTGATTGTGGCTTTGAAGAGAGAATAGGTCAGGGAGAGCAGAATGGGTCATGGAGACCTGCAGAGCCCCTGGAAACAGTCTGAGCTGCTTCACTGAGCCATGAGCTGCTTATGGCCATCTGAGTGTATTTTGTTTCAGTATTCCTTCTGCTGGGAGGACAGGCAAACATTTAAGTGAAAGGAAGACAATTAGTTGAATGCCTTCAAGCTGTCACTTACCTTCCCAAGCCAGTATCTTTGTTTTCCTGTGTTGTACTTTAAGAAACTCTGGGTGTGTTTCTCTGACTAGATGGCAGAATGATCCTATCAGTCCATAAAAGCTCTTGGCAATACCTGTTCCCAACAAAGAGATGCCTACAGAGAAAAAAAAAAAAAAAGAAAAAAATACACCACACTGAAATACAAGACACCATATATTTGTCTCCATACATGGGACATCACCTTCCACAGTTCTCTCTGTCAGACCTCAAGCTTTCAAAATAGTGTTCATTTCATCAGCACACACTTCCAAGATTAAGCAGAACTGTTGCACACAGTCTATGGTATGGATGTTAAAACGCACAAAATGACCTGTTCTTTGAATCTTTCTGTTGTCATGATAAAAATATAAATACATTCTCTAGCTATAAATACAGTTGTGGAACCAGTTGTGATGCATTTGGCTATATCAACGTCACTTCTGCAGGTCACATCATCTAGCCAAGATCCTGTGGTCAATATTGGTTGCATAAGGAAGAATAGCAAGGCAAGCCCATAGTGAGATTTCTCCAAAATATATTCAAGCCCCTCATGATTTGCCATTGTCTTGGTATAATCCATATAAAGCTTGTAATGACCAAAGGTTTGTGTCCTGTCTCAGTGAGTTCCACAGCTTGATGGGCACCTTTTGTTGGGGAATCAGATGAGATTTTGAATCTGACTCTCCTTTCAGTAATGTCTGTTCTCCTGAATGAGGAAGGGTAGCTTGTGATTTTGAAGAGGATAGTTGTTATTTGCTGAGTGTTGGGTAAATCAAGTTTGTCGCTAATGGAAGAGAGGTTGTGGAAGGCCTGGGAAGTTCTTGCAAGGAGTTCTCCTTGTGGCCCACTTTACATCTGTGCTTTCACAGTTTTACTGCATAGAAGGTTTATGAGAAATCTTTGGGTTTGTGAGAAGAGAGTTTGTAAAATTTTTTACAAACCATCCATGTTTTCATCCGTATTTCAACAATAATTTCTGTACTCGTCTGAGCTGTTTCTGCCTATTTCTTATTTACAGCCCCTTTTTAGAACTTCCTTAAGCTCAGGTGTTGCTGGTAAGCAGTGGGGTTCCTTTCATATTCATGTTTTCTCTAAATCCCACTGAATTTAAGAACAATGGATCATAATTTAAGATCTGCAGTCTTATTTTGCTTTCTTCCTTTGAGGCCTGCTCTCTTGCTGAATTGTTGACTTCATAGTAGAGTGATATTGTCAGTCTGGTCTCATTTTGCCCTTTCTTCTTGACTTTTAGGAGCAGATAGTCCAACCTGTAGCAATGGAGTCATGTCCACAAAAAGCAAACAGAGTCACAGTAAATACCCAACACTGAGTTCATCATCTTCATCTTCCTCCTCCTCCTCCCCCTCATCTGTGAACTACTCTGAGTCCAATTCTACAGATTCTACCAAATCTCACCAGCACAGTAGTACAAGTAACCAAGAAACCAGGTATTTTTTTTTTGCATTTGTAGATGCCTGAGAAGGGTGAGTTTGTGGGAGAGTGCTCAGTCTGCTTTCTGAGGAGCCAGAAGGGCATCTGGCCTGTTCTTTTGAAGAACAAAATAACTCTTGGTATCTACAAGGTCACTACTATGCCCAGCAGACACAAACCTCTTCCAGTTCGTAAGCTCTGGCTCAGGCTTGGAGGCTCATCTCGTAGGGAATATTATGATGCTCCAAACACCAAGCTGGGCCATTAAACTGGTGCCCTCAGAGCCCAGTATGATAGCTTGCGTAGAAGCTCTCCTGTTGAGCCTGTTTTGGTTACTGCTGCCTCAGCCAGTCGATTGCTGCTGCTGAGCAGCTTGCCTGCCCTTGAGTGGGTGAGGTGGCAACTCAAGGGATTACTGGGTTGCTGCAGTGTCCCCTGGGGTATTTTTCTTGGGCTGTCTCTACCTGTTGCCCTGCTCCTTCCAGATGAGCCTCTAAATCAGAAGTAATTTGTTTCATGCTTGTGACAGCAAGCCAGACCTTTAGAAAACCTCTCTTCTTCAAGAAGCCAGAGGCAGTCTAAGAGGGGGGGATTGTTACTGCTGGAGTTATTGGAGCATGTTGAGCCAGGATGAGAACTGAACTTAGTTTAGGCTCACTCTCTGGGTTAGTGTTGCAGGGCTGCCTGAGGCTGTGCTGGAGCAGAGGATATCCTTAGGCTTAGTAGAATCTCTTGGTAATTGCTACTGGCACTCATCCTTGGAGTACAGTGCTGAGCACAGTTTGTAGTCTCTGTTGCGACCACTTGAGAGCCATACAGCACATAATGGAGTGAGGAACACTCATTCAAACTCAAATTACCAGAATCACTTGATAATGCTGGATTTATGATTCTTTTTTTTTAAATGTATAGCCCAAATCCCAGCAAGACTTTCTCGTCATATCAGTTAATCAGCAATCTCATTCAGACCATGGTCTTGAACATTCAAACCTAGATCCATTGTGTTTTGTATTGCACTTTCTGCAAGGGTTGATGGTTTACGACAGCCAGGATCTCCCTCCTGTTTAGTGGGTTAGTGTGGTATCTGTTGTCTGGCTGCTGCTTGCTATCCCAGAGATGGCTGCTTCCCAAAGGGAAAATGAGAAGCACTCTGCACCTCTCATTACAGCAAGCACTTTCAGAACAGAAACCTGTTTCAGAAGTTGCCTTCAGAAGCCTGCAACAGTTTTTGCTACAATGAATTAGACCATTTGGCTTCCTGTAGTCTAACCGGCACCTTTACAGGTTTACTGGCAATTGCTGGGCATCATTTAGCATCTGAGCTCTTAATTTCTTCTCTTTCTCATTTAAACATCTGATCTTTCTTTCTTCCTTTCAACTCAGTGACAGTGAGATGGAAATGGAGGCTGAGCATTACCCCAATGGAGTCCTGGAAAATTCATCCACCAGGATAGTGAATGGCACCTACAAACACGAGGAGATCCTGCAGACAGATGAGTCCAGCATGGGTAGGGCCTCAGAGGCAGGAGGGGTAAAGCGAAATAGAAAGAAATGGTATCAAAAGTTAAAATTGTGATTGGATTGTGGGGAAAAAACATGTACTTCGGGTTTCTCTCCCTGCCTCAGTGGATGAAGTTCTCAAGATGCCTGTTTCACAGGGAAAATTAATCTGTCCTGGAACTAATGCTACATTTGACTTTTCATATTCTCGCAGCCATGCTGGTGGTGGTGTGGAGCAGGGAAGGCAATAGGAGTCTAAAGTTTTTCAGCACGGGTCATGAATTCCAGTTCAGAGCAGTCCTTGCACTTCTCTGATTTTATGACTTTGCCAGCTGAGGAACTGAACCGAGCTCTAACAGGCTGGCTGATTCCCAGCCACAACGTGTCCTCTGTGCACAGGGTGGTCAGCTCCAACTCTCTTGTTTGTGGCTGCTTTAGCCAGGAGGGAGAGGATAAACCAGCTACATTACCTCTGAAACTGAGGATGTCTCCAGTTATAATGGGTATTGTGGCCACTTAATACTGGGAAGTTGGTGGTGTTGGCACCTCTGACTGGGAAGTTTTCTGACTTGGAAGGTTTCTGTATTGTGTACACTGTATTTACACACATGCAAAGGTAACACGGCTAGAGTTGCACGCTCCTATGATTCTCTCAGGAGACAAGATTTGTAGGTAGTCCTCATGCATTAAACAAACTGACCTCAAGTTTTCCCTGTACCTGACAGGGGCTATGGAAAAAACACTACTGGCTGTTGTAGTGTAGGGGTCACAAAAAGCTTCCACTGGGATAAACTTAGGGCCAAAATCTGCTGCCTGCTCCAGAAGAGGAAGTTGTTTCTGGGTGGCATGACATAGAGTGGGCAGTGGTGGGGAATGAGAGATGATTGTTACTTCTCCACTGCCTTTCCTCTAGAAGACAGCTGCCCACAGAGGCAGCTCTGTGGAGGGAACCATGCTGCCACAGAGCGAATGATCCAGTTTGGACGGGAGCTGCAGATGCTGAGCGAGCAGCTTTGCAGAGAGTATGGGAAGAACACAATGCATAAAAAGATGCTTCAGGTAAGCCTGTGCTTTGCTCTGCACCGCAGCAGTTCTCTGGGCCAGGACTGGGGTTGCAGATTATCTTGAAGAGCAGCGGATGGTCCCCTCTTCTTGCACCTGAGGAGGAACAGGGGGCCTGTGTAGGGGGCACAGGTTGAAGCTCAGTGAACATAGAGTATCTAGGCCCAAGTTCTCGGCACAGGACAGAAGAAATAGAACTCCTGCCTGCCTTCACTCTTATTCTCTCCAGGTGACTCTGTACTTGCCTTCCCATGCAGGCTCCCCTGCCAAATGGAAGGGGCACCCTCTTTAACCCACTGTCTTGGTGGCCCAGTGTGGTCCCTTTCTGCCAAGAGGAAAAAGGGCCATTTCTTTTCGGGAGGTGGGCACTTCTCACCTTGGCAATGGCAGGATGTGCCCTGGCTGATGGACCTGGTGGTTTTCCTGTGTGTTTGCAGCCCTGCGTGATCTTACTGTGCCTTTCTGTTCTCTTACACAGGACGCATTTAGCTTGTTAGCTTACTCAGACCCTTGGAACTGCCCCGTCGGTCAACAGCTGGACCCGATCCAGAGGGAACCTGTGTGTGCTGCTCTTAATAGTGCTATATTGGGTAAGGCCTGGTTCCTGGGTGAGCACTGCCTACTGCACATACCTGCTTTCAAGGGCTGTCCTGTGGCAGGCAAGCCTGTGTTAGGAAAAGGTCAGAAATACTCCTGTTTAGTTTGTGCCTCTCTTCCTGTTGCTGGGGACTGACAGGGCAATGATGGAGGAAGGGAAGTGGGAGGGAAGCCTGCACAGAATGGATCCTCCTGTTCTGGTCTTCTTTTGGCTCCCTTCTTTGGGTCTTCGTCAATGCTGCTTCCAAGGATGCTCCTCAGGATTTTCCTTCCCTGTTTACTGAGGAAGCCAAGATCTCTTCCACGCATTTGCTCCCCCTTTTCCTTTTTGCTCCCAGCCCGAACTGAATCAGTGCACTGGCATTAGCCGGGAACAGCCATGCTGTTTGGGTTGGCAGAGTTTTGTCCTGGCTTCATCCTGCTTTCTCATAGGAGATGCAGTTTTTCTGTGGCAGCAGCTCATAAGTGAAGCTGGCTCTGAAGCAGAGGGAGGTCATAAATCCAGTTACCTTTGAGCTTATGCTAAAGATCGAGAGTTAAATACAGGCATTCAAGCATCACCTCTGCCTGTTTCCATCATGTCCTGTGTCTGCTAGAACCCAGAGAGCCTGGCTGCCTATAGTCCCATGGTGGAATCAGGGCTGAGGTACTGGTCCAACCCTGTTGCTCTTTCGCTTCTGGTCTTAACTGTGCTGAGAGGACCCTGCTGAGTGTAGAGATCTGCTTATAGGTTGCTTTTCTTCAGCTAGCAAGACAGCTCCCCGTCTTCTGATGAGCTTTGCCCTTTGTGTCAGCAGGATGGGTCATGGCTGGATCTAGATATGAGAAGTCTCTTGTCCTTCTCTGTGTCCTCAGAGATGAATTTATGCCTGCTCTTCCATTTTCCTTAGACAAACACATTCCTTTGCCCAACAGCTTGTTGTCATTTACTCTCCTGTCTTGAACCTCCTGTAATAAATGCAGCAGCCTTCCCTGATGGAAGTCTTGTGCTTGAAATCAATGAGTTGCCCTGTGGTTGCTGACCCTCCTGGCAGCCTCAGCTACAGAAAGTCCCAGGGTGGAAAAATGTATATAGTGATAATGAGGTTGTGGCCTGCCACCAGTTTGCAAAAAAGATATTGATTGATTCTAGGCAGGAACCTTGATCCTGTCAGCAGACCCTGCACATGCTGTGCCACAGCTCAGGTCACTTCATAGGACACTCTCCAGTCGGGGTTAGCTCAGTCCATCCACAGCTGGCCAAACACTTCCCACTGGACAACTTTTCTGTCTCAAAAGCCCAGGCTTGCCTCCTGTGCACAGTCCAGCTCACTGTGCCCAGATGTATTTCCTAGTGTGTCTGTGTGCCGCACATTTTTGAGTGTCCCAGAAAGAGATGGAGATATTTGTCTTCTAGGGGAAAGAACACCTTGATGGACAAACCCTTGAGGATGGCTCATGTTCTGTCTTGAGGAACAGAAATTGTATGGTTTGGGAAGTAAAATCCCTTCCCCTGACAGCATGGGCAGGTGTCCAGCAGGGTGGCTCGGTCCTTGCCATTGTTTGTCCAGTGCCTGAGGAACATGGACAAGTTCCTGAGGGAAAGTCACCAAGGAGATGTGAAAGATGGTGTCTGGACATGCCTTGTCACACAGACCACAAGAAACCTGGTCTAGCTCACTCAAGGGTTCCCTCTTGCATACATAACAAACATGGAGTTGAGAGGAAGCAGTGACCAGTGAGTGAGTTTGTCTAGGGCTTGGACTACTGGGTAGACTTGCACAAGTAGGAGAGGTCCATTGCCTCTCACTTGGTGCCAATTTCTCCTGCCTTTCCTTACTCTTCCATGCTTTGATCTCTCATGCTTTGAGGGTTTTCTGGCAGACACTGAGGCAGCAGGAGCTCCACTGACTTTTTCTTGCTCTGGCTACCACAGCAGCACTTTCTCACAGGCCGTGTTGAGCCCTAGCCCCACATGGGACGTGTCATGGGTGGTGGGGTGTGCGGAGGAGCAGCAGTGCAGAGCCAGCAGTACTTGGGAGTAGCTTCTTTCCAGAGCAAGCACCATCTGCTAGGAAAGCTGGGCTTGGTGCCAAGGTGGAAGAGAGAGAGACCCGAGAGCAGGTGAGCTGGTGCGCAGCCAGGACACCTCTTCTAAATAGATTTGTTTATTTTGCCCCCACAGAATCTCAGAACCTGCCAAATCAGCCCCCGCTGATGCTTGCCCTGGGCCAGGCCTCGGAGTGTTTGCGGCTCATGGCTCATGTGGGCTTGGGCTCCTGCTCCTTTGCCAGAGTAGACGACTATTTGCACTAGCCACCAGAGCAAGATGGAGTTGACATCGCTGAGTGCTGCCCTTCACCCTCTGTTGCTGCCACTCTGCACCACCACCTCGTTTGATAGCCTGACCTCTTTGCCACCAACACCCTCCGTAGCGCACACACACGCTGCCCGTGGAAGGATTGAGTGGGTCCCTCACTGTGTGGCTATTCCTGACCCCAGGAATGACGGGCAGATCTTTCCTGTCTCCCTGCCATTGCTGTGGCTCCAGTGGCACTCAGTATTTTGCTGGTTATTCTAATGTAGCGCCTTCCAATGTAGGGATTTCTCTTCATTTTGATTTACACGGATCCACCAGTATTTTTTTTTTTTTTTGAGTTTTGCTGAGCTGGTTTCTGCTGATTTACCGAGGAAACTCATCAAGTTGGTGACAGCTTGTTCTTCCCTTCTCTGTCAGTCGTGCACATACAGTATCATCTGTGCTAGTTACCTGAACTCTTCTCGCAGTGGCAGTTCAGAGGGGGATTCTTTTATTTTATTGAAATCCTGTTTATTAAAAAGGTCTCTTCCACCTCCACAAAGTCATTGATGTATTTATTGCCCACAGGCTCGGTCCCAGCTATACACATGCTATAACCCTGGCAGGAGACCTGGTGAGGTAGGTCCTGCCACACACTAACAGTGGGAATTGGAGGAGCTTAGTCCTTCAAGGTGCATGCCTCTCCTAAGAGCACAAGGCTCAGTGACTTCACTGTAGAAGCATCTCACAGCCCTGAGAAGTAAGTAAATCCGAAAAATAATAGTATTTAATGACCCTCCATGTAACACTGATCTATCACTGATGTTTGATGAGCTCTTTTAAAGTTTGGAAGTGTCTTGAGAACACCTAGTGGGAACTGTGCTCACCATGTGAGGTGTCACATGCCAAGATCAGGTTGTGGGTTAGGGTCACTACTAGCTTTGTCAGTCTGACCAAGTCAGAAGCGAACAGCAAAGTTTCTTTATGAATTATTGAGAAAATTATTTTAGTTTCAGGCCGAAAAGGGACCAGCAAGGATCTGTGGGTGAATACTGTTGGGTTCCATCTGGCTGTACAGGAGTTACCGGAGTTCCGCACCAAATGAATTTTAGGTCATTATGTCTGAGGAGCACCCAGAGGAGCTCAAACCCAACATGTATTTTACTGTTGTTCATGATTTTTTCGATTATTTATGGAAGGGTCAATGAAAGATGAGCAGATGGTGTTGAAGTTTGCCCCTAAGATAGAGGTTAGCCTGTTCCAGGGCTTCAAGCTGGAAGCAACCTTGTGTTCCACTGAGGAGAGGAATTTGGTGTGTGATCTGTGCAGTAGCCCAGAGCTTCAAGGATTTCCTGCACTTGAAGGTTTGATTTGCAGCTGGGACACGAGGCCCGAAATCAAGGCAGAGCTCTTGAGAAGACTGGTGGTGAATGTGCAGATGGCATTGGAGGTGGCTGGGAATGCCTGTCAGTGCCTTTTGGTGAAGGCATACAACAGGGAGAGGGAGTGGTGAGAGCCATAGTAACCTAAGAGAACAGGCAACATGAGGTTTAGAGATGGAGATCTTTTTATTAGGTCAACTCTCATAGTTGAAAAATGCAGAGGAGCTCTGCAACCCTTAAGCCTTTCAGGTAGGTAGACAGCAGCAGAGGACTGCTGAATTCGGTTGATTTTCCTTGTTGTCCTAGTGATGGGTATCGCCCAAGCCTGCAGTTTTTACCTCGCTGCGATTGCAGAGACACTTCACCTTCGTGGGCACACTTCCTTTCTGAAGCTTCTGACCTGCCAAGCAGCTGGCCAGCTTAATCCATAGTGCCCCAGTGCTGTTAAGAGAACTTGGCCTGGTGAAAGATTCTTCTGCAAGCTCTCCATGTCTTGGAACCAGACTCAAGGCACACTGACAGACTGCTTGTGTGTACTTGGGTTGGAAATACTCTAATACCTGTCTTTGCATTTCACATTCAGTGACTTCCTCTGCCTTGGGTCACTCTCTAGCTTCAGCTGTCTGGCTGCAGTTGAACCTCTCTCTCATCTTGAGATTTTTATCTTATTCTGAGTTCTTTTTCTTCATTCTCTTTGTGGTTCTGTTAGGCCAAGTCTCTTTGTCATGGGTTGTATTAATCATAGAATCATAGAATAGGATCAGAGAATGTATTGGGCTGGAATAGACCACTAAAGGACACCTAGTCCAACCCCCCAGCCACAAGTAGGGACATCTCCAACTAGATCAAGCTACTCAGAGCCTCATCAAACCTGATGAGGCTGATGAATGTCTCCAGGGGCCTACACCACCTGTCTGGGCAACCTATTCCAGTGGTCTATCACCCTCATATTGAAGAAATTTTCCTGATGTCTAACCTAGATCTAGCCTTTTCTAGCTTAAAGCCATTACCCTTGTCCTGTCACTGCAAACCCTTGTGAATAGTCCCTCCCCTGCTTTCTTGTAGGCCCCTTTCAGGTACTGGAATGTTGCTATAAGGTCCCCCCAGAGCCTTCTCTTCTCCAGGCTGAACAACCCCAACTCCCTCAGCCTGTCCTCACAGCAGAGCTGTTCCAGCCCTCTGATGGTTTTTGTGGCTCTCCACTGAACACACTCCAACAGGTCCACGTCCTTGTGCTGGGGGCTCCAGAGCTGGACACAGGACTCCAGGTGAGGTCTCACCAGGGCAGAGCAGAGAGGCAGGATCACCTTTCTCCATCTGCTGGCCATGCTTCTTTTGATGCAGCCCAGGATTTGATTTGCCTTTGGGGCTGCCACTGCACATCGGTGGCTCATGTCCAGCTTCTTGTTGATGGATACCCCCAAGACTTTGTCCAAAGGACTGCTCTCTAGAATGTCCTCTCCTAGACTGTATTAGTAATGTTGGTTGCCCCTCCCCAGCTGCAGGACCCTGCACTTGGTCTTGTAGAACCTCACGAGGTTCACCTGAGTGCACCTCT